AGAAGAAAGATTACAAATTCGTGAGGGTTCATAAGATAAAGGAGTAAGATTAGGTGATCTTTCGCAGTAATGAAAGTGGGGATGTTGTTCCCTTAAAGTAGGTACACAGTATGAGAAGAACATGTTAAGAGGCTAAGAAAAGAGTATAAGAAAAATAGTAGATGACATAGAAAGAGATATATGAAGGAATAAGAAGAATAACAGTGTATGCTACTAGATAAAGAGTTTAGATGAAGGAGTATGAGATAGAAAAGAAAAGATAGAAAGAATAACTCACTAGACACTTTGTGTCTAACACTATAAAGATTTTATGTTTTGCGGGTTCAAGTTGTAGCAGCTGTTGTACCAGAAGATAAGACATGAACATAAGGAAGAAATAGATAGTAGGATGTTATTATTGTATTTCCTTGTTGTTTCAAATTGTATGTTAGATTTTATTGTAAACCCATGATTATTCCTATGATTTAAAGTGTTTTAATTTGTTTAGACTTCTGTACTTGTATGAAAACTCTCATATATCCCATAAAATAGAGGTATAGAATATCTGGGTCATTAAAAAGAGGACCAAAAATTAAATTAATGTAATGATTTGAAGTCTTTGATGCAGCCTATAATTATGTCAACTTGAAAATATAGATGGCGTTGGGAATTTAATGCTTCGGGTTTGTACATAATCTCCTAAACTAGGGAGGTGATCAAAAATTACCATAATAACTGGAGGTCTGACTGACTATATGAAATAATTAGGTCATACCAAAAGTAAAAGTATTTACTTGAAAATTGATGTTGGATAAAATTCGAACCAAGGTAAATCTAGATAAAAGAAAGATTAATGTGGACTCTTTATTGTGTGTGTGATAAAGGGAGAGGGAGAGGGAGAGAATAGCATGAGAGATAAAAAAATCTTTCGAGAATTAATATTTTTGTGGGAACTTAAGAGGCAAAACATTTTCACTCAAAACACCACGACAAGCATCTAATCATCTCATCTACACCAATTGCAATTCAAAATTGCAAGAAAACATATTTTTTATATTTTTATAAATGTGCATATATACACATTATATATGTTAAAAAACGTACATATATGATGTCATGTGTACATATACATTTTTTTTTGTGTTTCTTTGAAATATTTTGAATTGTGATAGAAATGATGATTATTTCAAATAATAAATCTTCCTTTTTCGGCAACATTATGTAATTATATTAATTACTTTTATTGTTAATTAATGTTAAAATTACTTTTTATTATTAAAATTTTATAGAATACTTTAAAAACCAATTATTGTTATCAAAATGTTATATATGCTAAAGTGTAAAATGTCCTTTTCAAATTGCATGGAGGTGCAAGAGAAATTACTAATAAAAATATTTAAAAAATTATGTAAGTTTCAATTAAAGTACTTATCTGATAATTATAAATGATTTAGAGGTCGTTATTATTTGAATACAATTAATTTTTATTCATTTGTTGATATGATTATATTATTTTTTATCATTTAACCATTTTGATTTGTAATAAAAAATATTACAATCAACATATTTTTTTGTAAAAGTTATTCATGTAACACCCATTTTCCGGGAATGGTCTTGTATTGCAAGGTAGTTAGTATAAAAAATGAAGTTGTGGGTTTTGAGTCATAGCCTGACACGTGTGGAAGGAATTACAACATGTTTAGGCCGCAGAGTGCCTAAGAACTTGCGAGCCACATGTAGCTGTTAAATGAGACCCTAATTTCTTGGGGGTTGGGCCATATTTAAGGGAATTAACTTATAGGGTTTTCATGTCTATACAACCTCCACCTCCAAATATCCTTTGTAAGAAACGCTATCCACTATATTGAGTGTTTCATGACCTTCTTTTCCTTTTTGAGTGTTTCTTAACGAATAAAAAGAGAGTGTGGTGTGTAAGGAAGTAATCCCTATCAAGATCTAACCTTCTCAACTCGTTTTGGACCTTTGTAAGTAATTAAGTTCTTGAATTTATGGATTTTATGCATAGATTTAAGTGATTTATGGATCCTTGGTCATTTTAGTCATTTTGGTCCCTTTAATCTTTGGAATTTGGAAAACTCCAGAGCTTTACGTTGGCATTTTGTTGAGATATGGACTTTTGTTGGTGAAATTAAGGCATGCATGAGCCCCTATAGAATCATGCACTGAAATTTAGCCATTCTTGGGCTCTTTATAGATTTAGGGTTGAGGTTAGCCACTTAGACATGTTATGGACTTATCCATTAAGACCTTGAATCGATGGAATTACGAAAGATTTAGTTCTTATTTGAAGGAATTAAGAACTTAATGAGAAAGTTGTTTGGACGTTGGGAGAGACGCCATATAAAGGGTCACGACACACATCCTGAAGCCAGTCTCTACTGTTTTGTCATCTTGTGGGGCATAGAGTGCGTAGTCTTGGTTGTGGCGTACCATGTTGACTTTGACTTTTTGACAAGTTTGACTTTTGGTCAAACATTTAGTATTTAAGCTATATGTTAAGGTTTGACCTCTGATTGCTATTTAGGTAGGCCGTGTTAGCTGATTCGGTTACAGAGGTTGTGGTTGAGTTATATTGCTAGACTCAGGTGAGTTTTCTCATCGTATTACATATGTCACAATTGGATCCACTGTGTATGTGATGCATGTGTTATATGATGATATGATTATATGCTAGACTAGTAGGGTCTTTCTTGCTACTTTTTATGTTTACATGCTATGGGGATGATGATGATGATACCAATGTCATATCGTGAGTCTACATACCCATTTGGATTACGTCAATATCAATATTTTACCGTGAGGATATAGGTCCGTTTGGATGACGACAGATGATGGCAATACTGGTGTTATGTTGTGATCATATAGGTCCGTTTGGATGATGTCGATATCGGTGTCGTACCGTTAACCTGCATGTATGAGGGACGGTGGCGAAAGCTCACATGTCCATTATGATATGCATAGTTATCATAATGATGTATGTGGTATTTTGGGGAACTCACTTAGCTTAGTGACTACGCTTTAAAGTTTAAAGGTTTTTCAGGTTGCTCTCCTGATTATAGAAATGACCCAACATGACTCTACACCATCTGGCTCTATTATGATTTATGATTTGAGTCTTCCATTGATTTTATGATAATTCTGATACATTGTTTCATGACTTGGTTTTTGTGATAGTTAACTATTGGTATTTCCACGTTTTATTTTGGTTTGAAATTTAAGACATCAGAAGTTGGTATTAGAGCCTTGCTTTAAGGGATTTGGATGAACATTCATGTGATTACAAACTCAAATTAGTGCATGAGAGTTTTTATAAACTTATTTCTTAAAAAAAAAGAAATTTTATAAAAAGGAAAGAAGATGTGATGCGTATAGTCAGACGGAGCTCAGATAGGAAAACGAGTTTCAATATATCCATAGTTGCTATATTTGTAGGTATGTGAACTATTAGAAATGCATGCTAGTATGTAGGCTAAGGATATTTCAAGAATTGCATGTTAGAATTAGAAATGCATGCTAGTATGTAGGCTAAGGATATTTCAAGAATTGCATGTTAGAATTGTCTGCTGTTTAATTTCTTGTTATATGTTATTTGAAGTTCATGCGAATGTTAATTAGTTGATAAGTGAATGCTTTAAAGTTGTACATAATTGGCATTGTATAGCCTTATAATGATTGATTTAACCTTACTTCATGTTCATATTTTAGTTGTAGGCTTAGGATAGAATCACTTATTCGACTATCTATCCAATCTTTGATTACACACGACTTGCATTCACGAGGCGATTATCGACGTTAACAGTGACTTCTAGTGGTACGAGAGCGAGAATGCCATGAATCCTAGATTTAGAGTCTAGGAAGATTAGTGGTATGTGCTTGTATAGACACATACACGTGTAACATGACGCATAGTAATGGTTATTTGGGGTGACTTAAAACTTTGGGTTAGTATTATGAATTCGTTTTGATTTGTTTAGTTGTTATGGGTTGGGCCCAAATGGCAATGATAAATCGTATCCAAGTGGTGCAGACCTGCGTAAGATGCGTAAGTTTGTTGATTATGAGGTCTCCAGGGCCTTGTTTAAGGTGATGTCGGCTTTGGTCATGAGATTTAAGGAGGAAGTGATCGACATGAGGATTTCAACATTCGTTGGAGCTGAGCAACTCGTTCATTAAAATCATTTCAATAATGTTTTCATTCAGACAACTTCAAGTAAACATGTTGCTTCTATAAACGAACAACACATCCTTTGAACTTCAATCCATCAATATCACTATTCAAGTCACTAATCAACTCATATTCTGAACCCGTCTCAAACACCACAATAGTTCCAACAGTTATACCTAACACATCAAATATATCTAAATCGATATACACCCACACCCCATTTAAACAGACAACAAACAACAATTAACATCTTAGATTAATAAGAAAGAAATTGAACAACCAAAAATGACCTCCAGGATAGCTCGTAACTGCAAAACACCAAAGAGTTTCCCAATCGAATGACACACAGAAAACAATTGTTTACCGCAGTCAAATTTTCGCAAATAGTGACAAATTAGACATGCTATGTGGCTTTAAAATGAACGTTCGACAACTTAACAATATGTTTTTTTAAGTTATATGAATATAAATTGTTTTATTGAATAAATACTAAATTAAGCACATGTATTTTACATAATTGCTTTTATGTAACATCCAATATCCTTCTTTTTTAATATTTTTATAAATATGACTTAGGTCAATTATTCAGTTTATATTTAAAAACATTTTAAGCAAATTTTATTTATTTAAAATGTTATTTTTTAGACGCTTTGAATTTAAACCTTAAAACAGAAATGAAAGTAAATTTTATTACTTTGGTTTAAATGTTTCCAACATTCCATATACGAACCAAAAAAGTCCGTTGAAATTTTCGTATACCGAAACTACCCCTCGAACTCCACAACTCACCCTTGCCTTTTCTCATGCACTTTTTTGTTCTCCAACAAACTCCAAACAGATGATCTCCGAACCATGCATGTGAGAAGACTTCAGGGACAATTTCGTCATTTAAAGTCCTCCAAACATAAATATGCCCACTGTTACCCTCCTTCTCTCCCTGTTCTGTGCTTCTCAAGACTGTTCGTCTTTCTTCTCTCTTTTTTCTCAAACTCAAATCATCTAGAGAGAGAAACTGATCGATATATATAGAGAGAGAAAGTTGTTTCAGGGTTTTTACTTTGAAGTACTAAAAAGAAGAAATTGTCGCAGAGAAGATGAAAGCTTCTTTTATCAACCCTCTTTTTTTTATTTTTTGAAATATCAAGAATTTGGCAGATGAAAATTTTTTGAAACTTGAATTTGAAGTTTTTCTGCAAAAATCAAGAAATGCCCAGATGGGATTCTATTGAAAAATCGAAAAGTTGTGTTCTTGATTTGAATTTTTGGGGAAATTAGATAGAAATGGGGTGTTATTATTCAAGATTAGAGAGGGAAGAAATGGTTTCAAGATGTAAAGCCAGAAAAAGATATATGAAACAATTTGTAAAAGCAAGAAATGCTTTTTCCGCTTCTCACTCCATGTATTTAAGGTCTTTAAGGAACACCGGCGCCGCCCTCCTCCAGTTCGCCACCGCCGAGTCGCCGCTCCACTTGCCACCAGTTCTCCCTTCGTCTTCTCCTCCAACACCACCCGCGCCGCCGCCTCCTCCTCCTCCTCCTCCGCCACCCATGAGTCCATCTTCGGAAGCATGGACAACATCCACCACAAACACCTCCTCGACTCCCCTTCCGCCGCCGCCTCCCCCTCCTCCTCCATCATCTACATGGGATTTCTGGGACCCGTTCATGCCGATGTCCGAGAGGACAGAGACGATGCGCGATGACGAATGGGAGGATATGTCCACAAACGCGGCGTCGGAGACTGTGGTAACGACCACCACTGTTGAGTCCGCAAGCGTAGCTGCGCCGCCGTCTGCTGTTAGTGGGTTTTCTAAAATTACTGTTTCCAACGCCACACAAAACGGGATGCCGGTGGTTGTTTCGAGTAAAAGCAAGGATTTGTTGGAGATTATTAAAGAATTGGATGAGTATTTTCTCCGGGCGGCGGATTCCGGCGGAAAACTGTCGGCTTTGTTGGAGGTTCCGACTTGCACCTTTCCTAACGAAACACCCTCAGGTATAACCCCGTAATTCAAATAAATATTTTTCAATTAAATAGCTTAAAAGTTTATTTTCCACGAAATGTACAATTGAAATTGCTTTGTGTACAAGTTCTCGTTGCATGATTCTTCTGAATTAGCTGATGTCAGCTCTAGAAAAGGCGTTACGATATTATCATGGCAATTTGATGAATATAGAAATTCTCATGGTCAAACTTTTCATTTATTTGTATACTATTTATTACAAAATTATTGTTTCTTTTCTAGATTAGGCATAATAAATTTAAAAACCTACCCAATTCTAGTATATTGTATGTTCAAATTATTTCTGCAAAATCTATCAATTTGTAGTATTGCATGTTCGAATTATTTTTGCAAAATCTACCAAATAATAGCATTAAACTTTCAATTATGCGTTTCAAAATCTACCCGTTATAACCTTCAAAATTGCTTTGTATTTGGTTAACATTGCTATAACTTGGTAGATTCTCCAAATTACAATTTTGTAATAAATATAAACAAAAAGTAGCATAAACTTTTTTTTTTCTTATTAAGGCATTACAAAAATTCGACAAAAGCTAAAATAAACAAATCAACAGAAGTACATTAGCTATTTCTTGCATTTTTAACCCTTGATGTTATTGTTTATAGGTAAAATTCATGGGTATGGGTTAAATTTAAACCCGTTTTTGTGCTCATGGAGCTCAAGCGGGAGGTCTATGAAGTTTAATTGCGATGGAATGAGTGCAGTTGATGGTATACATATCCCCGGAAGTCATCGTTCTACGGTTGAGAGATTGTTTGAATGGGAAAAAAAGCTATTTGATGAGGTTAAGGTAAAGTTTCACTAGTGAAAAATGGTCCTTCAACTTTGAATTTATGCTTTTTTTACTTTATTGGTATTTTATAAAGTTGTTATAATAAAAACATAAATGACATTACAATCTAGTAATGTTATAAATTAAAATATATTTTACTTTTAGAAATATAATTTATGAAAGTTATTGTAATAAAAGGTACGAGTCAAGTTTGTAAAAAGCTAATAAATATAAAGGTTGTGTTTTTTTATATGCATAAAAGTTAGAATCAAGAATATACCTAGAATATTTTTTTGGTGTTAAAAATTAAAAATGAGGTTGGAGAGGATCTAGTGTTTGCATAATTTAATTTTGAAAATGTTATTCTTTGCACAGTATGTAAATCAGGTACACAATAGTCTCCTAGAGCGCAGTATTCACATAGACTTGAAACACTAGACCAAATAAAGGAAAAAAGTGATTATTTTTTTTTCTCATTTTGTTTAATTTTGTGGTTTTAGAATGCTGAGAGTTTGAAAATGGAGCATGAGAAGAAAGTGGAACAACTTAGGAAACTCGAGTTGAAGAGAGGCGATTACATGAAAACCGAGAAAGCAAAGAAAGAAGTCGAAAAATTGGAGTCAAGAATTACGGTTTCGGGACAAGCTATCGAGTCAACATCACAGGAAATTGTTAAACTTAGAGAAACCGAACTTTACCCACAGCTTGTTGAGCTTGTTAAAGGGTAAACCTCTCTCATATTCATTTGTTAATCTCATTTTTTTAAATAAAATCTACTTTATGGTAATTATAAACCGAAGGAAATACAAAAAAGCACAAATGCTTTCCTTGTTTCATCCATTTACTCACTTTAACTATTTTTTGTACCGATTAAACCATTATACAACGTACCTTCTCAATTTCATCCATTTAGCCACCAAAATATTATTTTATATAAATATAAATTTAGTCATCAAAACTGTTATTATAAAATTGATAAAATCATAAAATAGTAAAAGTATGTTGTGTTTTTCCCCGAGTAACCGGGAATAATAGTTTTCAAAAGTACAAAAAATAGGATAAGCACAAAAATTTGTTAAGTGGCTAAATCAATAAAATGGTGAAAATACAAACATTTTTCTCTACTTTGTCCTTATAAATTATAGATTGAAAATTAATTACTATTTTTATTTTTTATTTTTAACACTATAATTTATTACTTTTAAGGGCAATTTGTTTTTAAGGGCAATTTGTAAATAGACGTTTTGTGATTTCACATTTAATAGTTAGTTATTGGTCAAAAAGCAAGGACTAGGATTATGTGAAACCAGATATACACTGTTGTAAGTAGTACTTTACAAAGTCTTGTTTAATTTCTGTCCTTAATTTTGACTTTTGTGGTGTTTTTAATTTTGACTTTTACAGATTAATGTCAATGTGGAGAAGTTTATACGAAAGCCACCAAGTCCAAACACACATAGTCCAACAGCTGAAGTACATCACCACCGCCGTCCCATCAACCGCCACCACCACCGAAATCCACCGTCAGTCAACTCTCCAACTTGAGCTCGAAGTCAAACAATGGCACCTCTCCTTCTGCAACCTAATAAAAAGTCAACGAGACTACATCCAATCATTAACCGGATGGCTTCGCCTCAGCCTTTTCCAATTCACCAAAAACTCATCTTCCCAAAACAAACAAGACTCCGCAATCTACACCCTTTGTGAAGAATGGCAACTTGCAGTCGATAATGCCCCTGACAAAGTCGCCTCAGAGGGGATCAACTCCCTTTTAAGTGTCGTTCATGCGATTGTGGTGCAACAAGGGGAGGAGATGAAGGAGAAGAGGAGGGCAGATTTGTCATTTAGGGAGGTTGAGAAGAAAACGTCGGAGCTTCGGGGTTTGGAAAGTAAGTATGGGAGTGGTGATAGGGTTGTGGATAAACGGGGTAAAGTGGAGGTGTTGAGGGCAAAAGCGGAAGAAGAGAGGGGTAAATATGAAAAATCGAGAGGGGTAACAAGGGCAATGACTTTGAATAATTTACAAATGGGGTTACCACATGTTTTTCAAGCTGTTACGGGGTTTGCTAATGTTTGGACACATGCTTTTGAATCGGTTTGCAATCAAGCGAAAGTTTTGGAGGAGGTTCATGATGTGAAGAGGATAATGAATTAGGGTTTTGGATGTTGATGAGTTTATGTGAATAGAAATAGGGTTTTGAATCTTGAATTCTTGAATTCTTGAGGGATTTTATGTTTGTTTTGTTTTTTATGATGGGACTTTGTTTCTTTATTTGTTTCAAATGTGTTGATGTGTTGAATTTGTGGTGTTGTGATCCATTAGGGTATGGATTCTTTTGTTGCAATGATTTTGATTTTTTCACTTTTTGTAGTATCGTAGTCATCATCATCATCATATATGATATAACACTTCGTAGACATTTTTAAATTTCAAAGTAATACCATAAAGCAAAAAGAGCTAAAAGCCAAAAAGATCAACAATACTATGTAAATGATTGAGTTATAACTTATAAGGGCTTGCTTACATAGAGTGGTCCCTCTTGTGGTTGTAAAACTAAAAGGTACTACGAAAACATGGAATTAACTTTTATGAATGAATGAGCATTTTCTAGCGTACATTATATATATAACTTGATTAATGTTTTTAAGTTAAATCTACGTAGCATTCCATAATTTGAAATTTTGAATACACGTCTGAATTTGTCTTCAATGTCACATTAATATATCATATATCAGATAAAAAGTAGTAAGCGTTGGTTTTACAATCATTCAATATACAAAACAGATGTTACACTCGTATTTTACTAGGTATAAGTAGAGGATTAGGTGTGTTGTGTAAAAGTAAATTATAAAGGTTAAAAAAAACAGATAAATATTGTTACTAAATAAGTAGGTATAGTTGATTGTCTAAAGATAATATATAACTTTTAAATAAAATAATTGTTGAATAAAGTGATATATTTTGTTTTGACTTGAGAATCCAATGTCTTTTCTTCTTCATTATTTTACTAATTCCACTAACATTAATTCTATTAAATCAAGGATATACAGTTTCTTGGTTGAACCTTAAAACCAGAAAATTCAGTTTTGGTTTAAATTATTTTTACCATATCAAACTTTTTAAAAAATTGTAAATTTTACCATTTGAGCGATTGAACTCACTGTGTGAAATTCTACATTTCAACCGATAGTCTTCCTATCATTAATTCATTATGCATCTCTTGAATTTTTAAAGATGCACAAATTAAATGAAAATATCTTGTTGAAACTCCCAATGCTTTTCTAGGAAAATTCCTTCAAGACTAATCGCTAGTATTCTCTATTTAAGTGATATTAATATTTTATTTAAATAAATAATATTGAATTTAAAATTATAAATTGTATCATCTCGTTTAAACTTTAGAACCAAACTAAAACAAATTTGAATTGATTTTTTTCAAGTGATTCGTACACAACAGTTTTTTGTCATACACAATAATTCATGTATTATAAAGTTGTACAATACAACATTTTAAAGCACATGAAGAAAAATTATTGTGTACGGATTGATTTAGTTCTAATTTAGTTCAATCTGGTATGAAAATTACTCTAAATAAGAAATCGAACAAATAAACACCCTTACCTATTATAATGCGTATTAACAATGTATGCTTAGATATGATTACTAAAGAGTGATAGGGATGTATCCCCCAATTCTTTCCAACCCCACTCAAAATATCCAGCTTCCACACAATCACCGGCAAAATCCAGAATTGCATGCAACCACCACCAACAAACCCACTAAATGTTGCTTAACGTTCAATTAATTTAACCTTTGTTATTATCTCATCCATTATTTTCTCCTCTCTTTTCATTTAAGTTTTGATCATTTCCAATTGGATTTGTCAAGATCGGAAAGTTTTCACATTATAAAATTGTGAACGTAAAATTGGATCGGAAACGAAAGATCACGGCAAATTGAAAGATTTATAAGTTTAAAACTGAAAAATGCATATTGATATACCTATTCACAAGTTATATAACGTTTGGAACATACTAATAAACTTTATTTAATATATAAACTTTAAATCTAACTATATAATCCTACATAACAAATGATGTATTGCTATAATTTTCCCGTTCTATAGTATAATTATTTGCTTCTCATAAGCCACTTTTATGGGATGCGATGAAATCAAAACACAATGCGTAAGAAAGCTTGTATTTCTGAAAAAAGAATTCTATACAAGTCACCAAAGTGTGGATATCTTGAGCTTTGTATTAGCTTTGTACGATATACGATGTTTAGTTTTCGAGCTCAATCTACGAATTTTGGGGCGTGATTTTTAGTAGAAACGACAATTTTTAATGCTATTCATTGAATTATTCAAGTAATATGTGACAATTGTTTTCTAGTGTCAGGAAAGATCATAGAGGATTAGATCGTTGTACGATCTCACGGGACTACCTCTCAAAATATATATATATATATATATATATATATATATATATATATATATATATATATATATATATATATATACTATTTTATAAAAGAAATCGTACTATTTCTAAAAATAGATTGAATATAATAATAATATTTTTTTAAGACGTCCAAACTATTAAGCTATGAGTACAAGTAATCAATAATAAAATAATATTAAATTTTAAAATTTAAACTTAGCCTTATTTAAATTAAATTGTACAAAAATAAATGCAATATGTATAAGTATGCAATGCAATCCTAAAAGATTTTATATGATTTTGAGAGGGTTTATCTTTCCATCTTATATCTTGTTTACGTGGTTCTCCGCTTTCATTCGTGGAAATGAACACAAATTCGATCTAATTTTCCCATGCCCCTTCTCTATTCAATGCACTCTCTCCTGATTATCTCAAAAAAAACCCTAATACTTACTGCCTCCCCACCTCCACCTTCTTCGTCACAGTCTCCTGGAGCCGTCGCTACCTTCACCCTCATGATGCCGTCGCTACCTCCACCGCCACCCCTTTACCGTCCCACTTCTATCTTAATTCGAAATGAGAAACCCCAAGTATATCTCCCCGCCACCATTACGACATCACACAATGTTTACTGGAAGCCTTAGCCCTAAAGTAGCTCCACCATCGTCACCAGGCATACAAACGAACTGATTTCTCACTCCCCCGTTGTCGAACACCACTGTTACGTCTGGAGCGCACCACGACCTACTATTATCTCTATCATCATCATCGCTATCACCCCGTCTTTCTCTCCACCACCACCAGCTATCATCCTGTCGGTGACCTTCATGATTGCTTGACATAGTTTTCACTTCTATGAATAAACTTAAGGGGGCTTTGTTGCTTCCACCATATTCATATTTGTTCGATTCAACACAAAAGAAAATCATCTGGCTTGTTTACTGAATTTTTTGGATCTTATATTTCCTCATTTTTTATATTTTAATTTTCAATGTTTTCTTTTTGTGTTTTAAAGATAATGATAGTGCCTATTGCACCCTCAACCATCCACCGCCATGGAGTCATCGCCTTCAGGTATTGTTCCTTTCTTTTGGATTATCTATATATATTTCTTTTCTTTCTTTTAACTTTTCCATTGTAATCACTTGACTCTATTTATTATACTTGAAAAAAATCATTTTTTATTCCATATTCCAATTTCAAGTTCACGATTTTAACCAAAACTTTGTATTAAAATCTAACCCCTAAATAAAATAACATCAACATCTAGAAGGATAATGACATTGTTGCAATTATTATAATAGCACAACTGATATCTAAACAACGCAGTGCAAGGCTTGCTCTTCAAGGACCAGAGGAAAAGATTGTTCTTGGCCAACACTAAACCATGCTTCATCGGACATATAAATTTTAAGAAATGTATTACTTGGTAACATCCCTCTTCAGAACTGAACTGGTGTTATCTGGTTCTTATAGCATGTATAAATCTTAAATTTTGATTTATCTCTCTCAATCGTGATTTAGGGATTTTGTTTTGCCATATTTGGGTATGGGATAATTATATATATATTTTTAAGGTACAGGTGTACCAATGTTGTCTCTGTATTCCTCTAAAAAGTATGATCAGGTAACACATTTTTTAGCTTTTCCCTCTTCAAATATATTCTTTATTGGGAGAATTTTATATATGCCCTTCTTAAACATCAAAATATCATATTTACCCAACTTAATTTCTAAATATCATATTTAACCTTCATAAACTTTCTAAATATCATATTTACCATTCATAAAATTTCAAAATATCATATATGTCCTTTTTAAACATCAAAAATATCATATACGCCCTTCTTAAATATCAAAATATCGTATATGCACTTTTTAAACATCAAAATATCAATGATAATATCTAAAATATCTTCTATATACAAAATTATAATAATCAACAACAACAATAACTAAAGAATCAAAATATATATTTCATAGAAAGGGTTAAAGATGAATCTTTTTGTTTGTCAAGAGGCCGGCATTCTAACAATTTACAAGTTCACATTTCATTATCATAGACGTAAGGATAATATGGTTAAATTTCTTAATTATTATAATAACTCTAAGGTATAAAAATGATTATAAAATATTAAAAACATTATAAAAAAGGATTTGGGCAAATATGATATTTTGAAGGTTTATGAAGGGTAAATATGATATTGAGAAATTAAACTGGGCAAATATGATATTTTGAAGTTTAAGAGGGGCATATATGAAATTATCCCTTGTTTATTTGTACTCTTGGTTTATTCCATTCTTACTTTTGATTTCTCCTTCTCAACCGATGCCTTAAGCTTTTGTTATTTTTATTTATTTATTTATTTATTTATTTTTTCTGTATGATATATTCTTCTTTGTACATACATGTATTTGCTTCTTAGGAACATGAATCCCATGTTTTTGTGGATGTTTGACTGTCTACTACTAAAAAAAAAATAAAAAAAAATGACAAGGTATCACATGTTGTGCCTTTTCCCTCCTCAGATTTGTTCCTTTGATTATCGATTGTATGATGAAGTTCTTTGTTTATGAGTTATATGACAGAAGCAAGTTGCTTCCTGCAGATTCATATTTATACGAAAAACTCAGGCTGGTGAAACTTAGATAAGTTCCATATAGTGAATAGGGGATAGTTGTATGATATTAGCTTCTTATCATTAATATAAT